AAGTTGATGCTGTGCTTTTATCAAATGTCGGTTGTTGCCATTTCTTTATGTAGGACCACAGTTTTGAGTTATATTGTGCCAGAAATGATGCATGCTGATAGCATTTTGATACAATACTAGCTGTTTTTGAATTTGAGAATAGAATGAGTTCTTGGAGTTATTTGGTCAAACATTTTTCAGGTACAATACTTGCCACAGCTAATCGGTTTCATGGCCTTCGATCAGGACTTGTATGAAATGCAAAAAAAAATCTAGTAACAAAATCCTTTGTGATTACTAGTAGGTTTTACTGTATGTTTAGAACATAGTCACTTCAGGGTCCATTATTTGTATTTGGCTCATAACTGACAAATTTGTCTCTCTGCCTAAAGTGAAAATAATAGTCATGTTTATTGATTAATCTTAAAGGCCACAAAAATTTAAGATATACTCGTATTTTGCATGTCTTCCTGGTGTTGAATGATGTCAAATATTTTTATTGAAACACATAAATTGATGTGACCTCTCTCCCAAACAAGGAGAGGGGTAAACCCATTGTGCTGTTTGCACTCCTAGAAACTAATCATTATAATATGGCAATAATTTTCATTTGGTCAGGTCTGATTTCTAGTTAACAATTTTATTTTTGTGTTCAGAATCATCCAGCAGCCATATCACTCTGCAAACTCACAACTGGCAACCCACTGAAGCTAAGGTTGCTGCTGGAAGAGGTGTTAGTGGGGCCAGCAGGGGGCGCTCATCCTGCGGTCCATGTGGGTCCTAATGCCTCAGTATAGTGACGGGGACACTGTACTGTAAAAAGGCACCGCCCTTCGGATGAGACGTAAAACTGAGGTCCTGACTGTGGTCATTAAAAGTCCCAGGGCTCTTCTCAAAAAGAGTAGGGGTGTAACCCCGGCATCCTGGCCAAATTTCCCAATAGCCCTTACTAATCATGGCCTCCTAATAATCCCCATCTATGAATTGGCTTCATTACTCTGCTCTCCTCCCCACTAATAACTGATGTGAGGTAGATGCTACACATTGATGGTGGTGGAGGGGAGTCCCCATTACCTATAAAGCGCTTTGAGTGGAGTGTCCAGAAAAAGTGCTATATAAGTGTAAGCAATTATTATAATCTAGTAATATTTTCTCTATGCATTATGTCAATAGGTAGAAAAGCATGAAAAGATTACTCTTCAGCTTTCTAAGATGATGTGTCTTGGAGTACACAGTAACTAAAACTGAGGGAATTTTAAATTTATTTCCTGAATATTTAATAGCAAGTTGCTTAGTTATTTGGATTTTTTGCAAAAAGTTTACTTAGCCTGCTTTAGTTTCTTGCAGAATTGTTTAGATCATATCTATCTTGAAGGCTTAGTTGAGGGCAAATTTAAAATGTCACAACAATTAACAAAATTACAGTGTCACTTCCTGTATATTCAGTGTCTCTGGGGTATTAACTGTAGCACATGCACAAAGGGCTGTTTGTAAAGACAAAAGTCACTGAAACTTTCCTTCCCCGCTTCCTAAATAGAACTAAAGCAGCCACAGGGTTTAACTGGCTTGAAAAATCTTAGATGGAGAGGCTTTTGTTTTCTCACTCACAATACATATGAAGTGCTCAATGGTTATGTAGTTTGATGTGCCCAAACTCACCCCAGGCCACCCCTTGTACAGTACCTCTTCGTATGTTGAATGCATTCAGCGTTGCAGTGCCTCAGGCTGGATGGCTTCTGATGAAAGAACAAAAATAAATTAACATTATATTAGAGTACCTGACATTTGCACACACACCCTGCCGTACTTGATAAATAATGTGAAGACTTACAGTGAGGGCAAGGTGGGCAGATGTACTGTACAGTATGTGGCATGTTCAGTGTCAGAGGATAAAGTATGAAATGTGTGTGACATTTTACAAATATTTTAATGTCCCTCATAGACTGAATGCATCACCGTTAATTAGTCTTCATTGACTTGAAGGCAAATGTTGTAGTTTGAGACACTTGGTGTCCAGGGTAATGGGGAAGGGAGGGAGCTGGATGTTCTATGGGCAGGCAATATTGTAGCAGAAAGAAGTTGTTAAGTAACATAAAGAAATTTTTAGGAATTTAGGGAAGTCTCAGCCAAATAAAACTCCTTTGTAGAATGTACTCACTGTAAATAACTAATGCAAGAGCCCACATATTAATAAAATTTGTCCTTAGGATAAAATTGACAGATGCTGTGTGTACAACTCTGTATAAAGAAGGGAACGGGAGATGTTACAAATGAGGGACAGTCAGCCCATCTTGCTTGTGTAGTTGCTGACAGCGTACTGATCCAAGTCATTTCTTAAGGTGAATCAAGAGTAGTTTCTTAATGCAGGTGGGAAACAATTATAGAAATTATGGTAGTGGACTTTTCTGGTACATTCTGATTGAAGTGCACTGGATTACTAAAACATTTTAACATCAGTATGAATGAAAGTAACCTGAATTGGAGACTTGTAGCTCTATCCTTGCTGTTTAGCGGCTTTGTGTATGTTTTACTTTGGAGTACCATTTGAGGCAGTATTTGTTTGCTTTTCTGTAGGAATTTTAATAAAGTGTAGTATTCCCACGTTTGTTAAGTATGGTAATTAACTGTTTTAGTCTAATTTCCTTAACTGTCTACTTTTATGGTTTTGGAATCAGGGTTCACCACTTACCCATAGCTGTTTGCCTTTGCTAAGTGGTAGAAGAAAAATATAATCATGTTTCAGTCTTAAATTTTTTTCCGTACCTCATGCACGGAGTGAGTTTTTCTTTCTGGCGGTAATTGATGTACATCAATAAAAGCTCCTATTTCATGCCCTATGTTCCTGTTAAAACTGGTAATTAATCAGTGACCTTCATTAATCATCCTAAAGATGATTAAAAATGCTAAAAATAATTCTTCCTTTTCTCCTTTTTTTCAGGCTCCTTATTCTGTGCTATGAGACAATTATTAATCAGTATTATAATTCATGTATTGCTTCATCATCTTACTTCTGCCTTTTAAGGTTCTGCATGGGTTGGCACTTAATTACATTTTTGATCTACTTTCTTTATATACTCCTTAGCCTCTTATCAGTACCAAAAACTAATTGGTGTTCTTTTGGTGATGGAACCTTTTCCTGTCTAGCGCCTAGACAGTAGAATGACCTCCTGAAGGTCAAAAGGACTTTGACTCTGTTAAAATGTCTGTATTTTAAATGAATGCATAACTCTGTACCTTGGCTTTTCTTGTCTGGCCTTATTACTGTTGTTACTTTATTTAACATTGTCATTATTTTTATTCTAGTCTAATAGTGTTTACTTTGTAGGAACCTTTAAATAAGAACTGTCAGAATAATTACAAACAAGAGGAGGCCAGGTGGCACGGTGGCAAAGTGGCTAGCATTGTTGCCCTCTTGCACTGGGACCCGGGTTTAATTCTGAACCATGGGCGCTGTCTTTGTGGGATTTGTATGTTCCCGTATTTCCGTTGGTTTCCTCCATGTGCTACAGTTTCCTCCCAAAGTCCAAAAACGTACTGGTAGGTTAATTGACTTCTGGGAAAAATTAGTCTCGGGTGTGTGTTTGTGCATGTCCGTTTTTGTGTCAGCTTGCCCTTGCGATTGACTGGCATTGCGTCCAAGGTGTATCCTGCCTTGCCTGCCGGGATAGGCTCCAGGTCTTTGTAGATGTACAGTCTCCTTGCTGTTGTAAGAACACCAAGACCCTGAATTGGGAGAAGCGTATAGAAAACTAAAGGAAGAGGAAGTTATTCTTGCCATCCAGGCCTTTTCATAACATGAGACTACTTCAGCAAAGCCTGACAATCATTTTCAGTAACTCTGCTGCAAAGCTTATTCTATACCCCAACTGTGCCTCCAATGGCATAGAAGAGTGTTTCCTGCTCTTGGTTTTAAAAGCTTTTCCACTTGTGTTCTCTGTTTGACTGTTGATTCTGAAGACGTCCACTAGGCTGTCTGTACAATTTTAGGATCCTTGAAACAATTTTTTCTCCTTTCTTTTAAAGAATGTGCTTTGAACTGTAATGTATGTCCTCACATTTTTTTCATTTTTATTGCTTCCCAACATTGCCTAGAAGAGGGACATTTCTCATCATAAAAATCTTTATCAGAAGTAACTTTCACAAGCTTGACATTTCCGATCTCTTACTGTATGTTTGATTTTGCAGTAGGTCTGTTCTACACTTCATTTATAATTGTATAAAAACTTCATGTTAGTTGTATAGTCTTGCATATTAGTTAAGCTTTTTAAATTAGTTTTTCTAATATTCTGTATTTTTGTGTTATACACACTTTTCTACTCCACTGTCTATACAAGAATCTAAATCAGAATATAAATTGTGATAAATCAGTTGTCCTAGTATAAAGCACTGTGATGCTTTATATTGTTTTAATATTTTCTATGTATTACCCAGTTCTCTGTTAAAATAAACAGAGAACTGAATGCATACCCCTTGTAATTTGAAAATTAATCTTTAATGAACATTGAAATATAGTACAGTGTATTACATGATCTGTTTGTCAATTACTGTTGTTGCTGGTTCAAAGAACTTTGGAAATTTTAAGCAATGAGACTTTAAGATGTTAAGCTGTCAAGACCTACCTTTTTTAAATCTGTGATGACTGTCTATTGTAATCCTACTTCCATAAAAGAGATTTACATTTTAGTTCAAATGTATTTTAGTCTGATTAGTGTTTCCATAACCATACATGTAGTGTAACTCACATTTATTAATCAATTTTTTTTTACATTCTTAATTTCTGAATTAAGTAGGGGATGGAAAGCATGTCAGAATGTGTATATGAAATCAAGATTATTTATAAAGCTTATCATAGCTTTAGAAATACAAGGAAAGAAAAACCAAACTCTTCTTTTTACTGCAGTTATATTTATTTTCTTATTGCTGAAAATTACTCAGAAGCAGCAGGCAGTGACTGAGCTTTCTCATGATGAATTCCTCTTTTGCAGTAATGTAAAGTGCTTTTCTTTTTATTATTTTTGTAGCTGTTTCTTGTCCCTGCTGCTGGTGGCTGCAGTGGTCTGGAAGATCAAACAGACATGCTGGGCCTCAAGGCGAAGAGAGGTAGGTCACAGTGTTCAAATTTGCGTGTCTCTAAGTCTTACAGTGGTAAAGTCTCCTTTTCTTGCCTAAAGTTTTTCTTCTGGGATGTACGTGAACGTTGATGGTCAGGGCTATCTGCATTAGACGTTTGTAACTTTCCAGTGCAAAAGTGCAGTGATTTCAAGCATCCTACTAAAAACACCCATTCTCTCTCTGTTGAAGAAGTGGAATTGTTCTAAATTAGATTAAGTAAGGTTTGCATCTTGATTTTATTGTACTGATACTTACCTCAAATCTTTTTGAGAAAAAACATCATGCCTTTTGGATAATCTTCTAGGTAGACTTTGGTGATGACTTACCCCATTATTTTAAACATATTTATAGTGTTTATTTTTTCTCCTTTGTTTCATATGAGATTAAATATTGCTTTCTTCAGTTTTCATTTAAAATTATGAATTTTCAGGGCTTTGAAACTTTTAGTTTAGTTGGGTCTTTTGGGTCTCACAGTATGATACTGGTGAACCTTAGGATCCCAAGTGCATCTTAATTCTCAAATGCATTTAATTTGTATTGGCAGTCTCGATTTGACTGATAATGTGCTTCTTAAAATTTCACCCTGGACATATTAGTGACATAGTTATGTTTTTTTGCTAAAAATGGCAACATGGATTAACACGTCCTTTTCTTGAAATATTTTTTTTTATTTGCTGATTATTCAAACTGAGCATTCAATCTTGATAGATTAAATGGTAGTGTTTGGAGGAATTTGCCATTTTAGGTTGACCAGCTTCCCATCTTAATCAAATTTAAAAAGTCTTCATAAAATGTTAACTGCAAATTTGTGGTAGATCCAGTTTTATGTTTACATTAAAGGTTTAAAGTTAGTATTTCTTTAAATTGATATTACTCTGTGCTATTACTATTTATTGCTACGGTAACATTCAGTTTGGAATTTAAAGATTAAGTCTTTTTCTCACATTAAGTATCTGGGAAGTGCTAGACTCTAACTATTAAGAATTATCCTTTATCAGATATGTGATTATTAAGTCTTTGCTTTAAGCCTTTTAATATCTTAATATTTAAGCATTACATGAGGATTTTTATCCTGCTAATGATTTCTGTTTCTTTAATTAATCAAAGCCTCTTTCAGCTGCTCTATTAAAAGTCCTTGTGGTGTTTTCATAATCATTAGAAGTGGTAAAGAGCTTGTCTTCAGTAATAATTTTTATACTTTTGCTTCTGGTCTGTTATACCTCATTGCAGTTCTTTGAGATTAAATGATGTGAGCTACATTTTCTTCTAGCAAATATAAAAAAAATCTACTATTTTTAGCAAATCTTGAGCTCCGGGATAAAAAATACTTTATAGGTAGTGTAATAAAACTAGGGGCGATGTGCGCGGCAGTGATCCTTTAATAGGCAGGTCTAGGTAAAATGCACACAAACACAGCCATAAGGTACAAAACCAGAGCTCTGTATTTACAATTTGAGGAATGAAATTAACCTACAGTATATGTGGCACACAGTGCAATATCAAACTGTGCTCAATCTTGGGGTCATTAAGGATAGGTTATCTTTGAGCTCTATGTATACAATTTCTGTTTCTCACTACAGAGCTGGACAGCTAAAATGATTACTGGCCCCTAAACAAGTCTCTCTTCAGGACCGCTGTCTCTCTCTGAAACTTTCAAAACCTCAAAAAAATGTTTCTCTCCAAAACTTCTCTTTGAAACTCCCTAAAAGTCTGTCTTTCTCCAATACTCTCCCAAAAAACTCTCATGTTTGTGGGCTTCATCTATCAGTTGTGCTCTCAGCTCCATCCCCCTTAACCCCCATTATTGCGAGTGGATTTGCTCTTCGTCACCAGATGGCAGATGTGGAATCAGGAAGAAACCTCAGCTTCCTGGGTTTTTAATTTGTCACATGACCAATTGTCTTCTCCCGTCTGGTCAGGTGACTGAGGGGAGGCAGGATATCCCCACACAGCTTACTGGGTAATGTAGTTCAGATCAGCACTTGCCATCCCATCACACTGGTAACATGTTTAAAGGAATTCAATCCTACTGTGTGTATATATATAAATATCATATATTATCAATAAACTATATATATTAAAAGCCTTGATTACCTTTCAAGGGTGGAATGCGGTCATTGACAATGGTGCCAATGACACCCTATGCCCTAAACAACCTCAGCCTTGATTGTCTTAGATTTTCTACTCGTTACCCTCTTCAACTTGAGAACAGCTGTTTGAGACCTTCATAGAGCCTTCTTGCTTATTCTGAATCTCGTGGAGCGTGCTCAACCTTGGGATCTTCCAGCCTAAAGCAGCCTCGACTGGCCTCAGGGGTTTTCAGTTCTCCTTGAAAACTTTGACTCAGTGGGTGACTATTTTACTGTATTCCAGTCCTCAATGTGAAAATTGGCTTTTGAGACCTTCCTGTAGCTTTCCTGCCCTGCTAGGGGTCATGACTGTGGAAATACAACTGATAGATCGTAGATATTGGTCACATGGTGAGTGTAACTGTCCTCTTTGATTATTCGGGCATTTAATAATATTTCAGAAATCGCCCTTTTTCACACCAGTGATAGTACAGATCTGAAACTTGATGTCCAGTGTTATCAGGTCCCTTAGATTTGTTAAGAGCCGGTAGACTGGTAAAATAGTTTGTCGCTATACGGCTTTAGTCAGAAAATGAAAGTTTTTTTTAAGGTGCTTGACTGATTAAAATGACATTTGATATACATAGATAAGGACAGTCAGCTGGACTAATCCAGCTCTCTAGTGAAATTAAGTGCAGTACATTACAGGAGCACATGGGAGTCTAATGTAGATGTTGATTTAATCCCCTTGAAGCTTTTCTGGATGTAATGGAATGACAGGAAATTCAATTTGATTTCAGTACATTTGTGAATATTGTATTTTATTGTACTGGAAGGTACTTTTTATATTAAATATTTAAATAACACCATCATATTATTTGGCCAAATGCTGTACCATACAAATGTTTACTACTCAGCACAGAAATAGGGCAGTCACTTTAGAGTCCTTGGGAAATAATGAACAAATAAAATGTGGAAGGTGGAAGTTTTTTTTAACTGTTAATTATGAATCTGAATCTGAATGGTGAAGTATATTTAGAACTCAGTTTATGCTAATGCATTCACCAACATTAATGTTGGTTATGAGATCAAACAATCAGAGCTACTTTGATATTCTAATAATGATGTGCAAGAAGACTTTATGAAGTTTTCCTTTGATTTGTTTAATAGGGTTGCACCCCAAAAGACTGGAAAAATATTTGTTTTTGACAACTTGAGACTCGTTAAATTTAGCTTTGTCTTGAAAGACTATTTCCCCTTACATTGCCTTGGAGTATGAGGTTATACTCATGGCTCTTATGTGTGCGTCTGACCTCACACCAATTATAATTTGTGAAAAGTTATTGTGGTGCACATAAAATAATAATAATAAACTTTGTTACATAGCGCCTTTAAAGGTGGCTTCTCAAAGCGCTTTACAGAGTGAGAACAACAATAAATAAGAAGAATACACAAGATAAAACACAATTGCAATATAGAGAGGAGACCATGGTGGAACTAGGAAAAGCAGAGGGGTGAACCATGGAACCAGTTAAGTAAAGGCTCTTCTAAAGAAGAAGGTTTTGAGTCTGGATTTGAAGGAGTTTAGAGAAGGTGACCCTCTGATATCCTTGGGCAGAGAGTTCCAGAGCTTGGGGGCATAACAGGAGAAGGCCCTGTCACTCATACAGTGTAGACGGGCTTGGGGGACAGTTAGGAGACCAGAATTAGAAGAGCGAAGGTTGTGAGGTGGGGAGTAGGGTGATAGTAGTTCAGACAGGTACTGAGGTGCCAAGCCATGAATGCCAAGCCTTATAGGTGAGCATGAGAATTTTAAAGTCTACACAGAATTTGACAGAAAGCCAGTGGAAGGACTGGGTGCTGAATTTTGGACATACTACAGTTTGTTCAAAGTAGATTTAGATACTCCAGTGAGCAGAGCATTACAGTAGTCAATTCGAGAGAACACAAATGTGTTGATCAGCTTGAGTCAATGTGTATTTTAAAGTGACCTAGAATAAGGATCCTTTTAAACTTAAGGCATAAGAATGAGAGTAGATCAGCAAACTGACCTAAGAAGGCTTCCCTGGGTTTGGGTGGTCTGTAAACTAAGGCAATGATAGTAGATTGGGGGATAGAGACATTTAAAACAAGGCACTCAAAAGAAGAGGGAGGAGGTATAGTAATAGGACTTAAATTGTAAAAAAAGGTTGTAAATAACAATGATGCCCCCGCCTCTGCCTGAGAGATGTGGAAGGTCAAACAAAGCATATCCAGGAGGGACTAGTTGGTTAAACAGGAGTCCATCGTTTTGTCTGGGGCAGGTTTCGGTTAAGCACAGAAGGTTCCGTTTTTTTTCTTTGATAATGTCACATAAAGGAAGAGCTTTGTTGTTTATGGAGTGGGTATTGAGTAGCGCTGATCTGGCCAGTTTCGGGGATTCAGGGGGAAGCGGAGTGCGGTCCAGGTGCGGTAGTAAGAGGAGGTTTTTGAGGTCGGTGCCGGTACGGGATGGACTTACAGTCGTGCGCCGAAAGGCAGGGATAGAGACTCCGCTGGCAGAATAATGAAAGAAACGGCATCCTATGCTGCGATGGATGTAGCGACTAGGTCGAAAAATCCTAGTAATGCGGCAATAAACAAATGTGTCTTTTACCAGGAAGTACTTTTGTTTTAGTTGTAGCAGTTGCAGTGCAGTGTACCTCGGAGACGTGATCAATGAATCCAAGACAGTGCAACAAGACGGGAAGGAAATCCAGAGTAAGACAGTAGCAGGTGGTGAAAGTCTTCAGTTGAGCAATTTCACAATGCAAGTGGAAGTCGCATTTGTAAATTGCAACGTGAAGCGGATAAAAATAACTAATTAGAAACCAGTGTTGCCAAGAAGAAAACTAAATAAATAAGTAGATAAAAAAATGAAAAACTGGTGAGAGGAGCTGC